ACAGGGTTATTTTGGGACTGAGAGCCGCTGAGGAAGCTCACTCCCACCCCATGTACAGCCAGGCTCCCACACACAAATGCCCTGGCACATCCAAGGGGCTGGGAAAGCTGCACAGCAAACCCTGTGGGTTCACACAGCGGGCAGCCACTGCCCTTTGTGCAAAGTGTGTTGTGTGAACACTGGGATTTTTAAAAAAATGGTGGAGGCTGGGATTAAGAAATTAATGAAGCTGGGATGCTGTCCAGGGCAGGGCAGGCACTTGTAGAGACAGGAAAATTGACGTGGTACTGAGACTCAGACTGGTGCCTTGAGCATCCCCGATGATCCTTGTGGGTCCCTTCCAGCTCAGGAGATCTGCGATTCTGTGATTCTGTGATTCCATGGCACTTCACACCCACCAGCCCAGGCGTTGTTCTGCTTTGGGAGGTTCCAGAGTGAGGGCCACTCAGCAGCCACCAGCTCTGCTGGTCCACAGTGCAGTCCCTGTAGAGTGGGGACATCTGGGTAGGATGTCCCAGTGCCTGTCCCGTCCCTGCTGGCCTGTGGCAGCTCTGGCTCAGCAGTGTCTCTGTGGCAGGGGTGTCCCAGGGTGTCTGTGCAGCCCCAGCGGTGCTGGGCTGGCAGGCAGAGGTGTGGGCAGCGAGTGGGAGGGACGGGGAGTGGCAGGGAAGTGGCTCAGGAGCTCTGGCTGGTGCTATCTGTGACCCACATCACTTTTATGGTCTGTCTGCTGTTTACAGCTGAGCTGAGGACAGGTGGGGTCAGGCTGTAGAGGTGACTCACAGCGTGAACAGCTCGCTGCCTCTCCGTGCTTGGGACAGAAAATGGGATAATAACTGGTGTGGAAAACCCTGTGAGGCTCCATTCATCTTGACTGCTGCTGGGGCTTACGGATACAGGACTGGAATTCTTGCTTGCTTAAACAATTGCTCTTAAGTATTTCGTCATGAAGCAGGGGAAGCTGAAATTAAAAATATGATGAGTGGAAGCCCAGGCATTGCTCAGCCGAGGGTTTGGTGACCTGCCAGACTCCTGGTGAATGCTATGAATTTGGATAAGTGGAAGTTGCATAAATGGTGCAAACATCACGCTGCTCCTGCTGCTCGTGCAGAGCCGTGGGTGCAGTTGGCAGTGCCACAGGATGTGTTGACTCTGGCTGAGCACCCAGCCAGGCACAGCTGCTCCCATGCACAGCTCCCACCCTGGCTGGCCACCATCACCAGTCAGCCTGGACACTGCTGCCTTCACCCTCTGCCCTGAGAGGTTTTTTTTGGAGAGGCTGTTTCCAAAAACAGCTTGAAAATATGTAAGTGTCATACCAGAACTGAGTGGTCACACATCGATCTCCCGTCCCCGCCAGTCAGGCCAGTCCCCATGAGCTCATGGGGTTTGTGGTTTCTCGAAGCAGCTGTTCAGCTTGGAAGGAAAAGCTCTGAGCAGCTGCAGGGGCAGGGTTTGCTTCTGTGTGGGAGCTGTTGCTGGGGGGGACCCGGCTTCCAGAGTCTCAGGCAGTTTTATTCTCAGCTCTCCTGCTGATATGCCCGATAGCCCTGGTAATGCTTCCAGCCTGGTGGAATGGAAAACTCCTGTGTGTGTGGTTGGGGGGTTTTGTGCTTTTGGCTTGTGTGGGGCAGGTGAGTGGAAGGTGTCTCTGTTGCTAGTGTGGGGACTTGTGAGCTGGCCTAGCTGCTGAGGGTCGAGCACTGAGAGCCTTTTAAAAGTTACCTAAAAATACCTGATGTGCCTAAACTGGGGAGAACTGATCAATGTCAAACACTCTTTGGCTTGTCCCATCTGTCCCAGCCAGGCAGCGTGTGCCCAGGGTGGACTGAATGATCTGGCAAGAACAGGGTGCTCAGGCAAGGCAGTGTGTGCTCATCCCACACCAAGTGGGTGCTCATCCCACACCAAGTGTGTGCTCATCCCACACCAAGTGGGTGCTCATCCCACATCAAGTGGGTGTGTTCAAGTGTTCATCCCACACCAAGTGGGTGCTCATCCCACACCAAGTGGGTGTGTTCAAGCACTCATCCCACACCAAGTGGGTGTGTTCAAGCACTCATCCCACACCAAGTGGGTGTTCATCCCACTCCACCGCTCCTGGGGAAAGGTGGGCAGGGCTGGTGCTGCAGGCTGCGTGTGCTGGGCAGAGCAGGGACCCCGTGGCCAGGCAGCCTTGGATCACTGGATGGGTGATCAAGGTGGGACACACAGGAGGGATGTGGGGCTGAGCGCTGCCAGGTTTGGCTCTGTCAGCGAGTTCATCTATCCCATTATCTTGAGGGTGTGTCCTTGAAGGTCATGGAAAAGCACTCTTGCTCAGCTGGAGGCAGGAACATCCGAGATACAGCAGACACATCTCCTGTTTAACATAGTTCCCAAATCTTTCTACACACACCAGGCACTCACAGGACCCCGGTCAGGGGTGTCCCTAACAGGGCTTGTCCTGCAAGATCCCAAAATGCTCCCTGCCTTGCCAGCACCCTCCCACACGCTGCCCCATGTGGTGCCCTGACCCTGTCCATTTCTGGGGCTGGAGCTGGGTCAGGCGCTGGATCTGAGGTGCTGGTGGGTGCAGGCAGCTCTCTGGCAGCTCTCTGATTCAGGCAAGGCTGGCACCCACGCTGGCATCCTTCCTGTCACTCAGTGGGACCCCAGTGTCCGTGGGGCTACCCAACAATTCTCCCCTGGAGGGACCCTCCATGTGTTGGAATTGATTTGGCCTGGACTCGACAGGGGGGTCCTGGGGAGGGCTCCAAAGTCCCAAGGGCACACACAGGGGGTAGCAGGGGGGTGTCAGCCCTGTATCTGGGGAGTCCCAAGGTGGGTGCTGCGGGGGTGCTGGGCTGTGGGTCCTGGCCATGTTGGGGCAGTCCTGGGGAGGCGGCTCCCTGCGGAGATGGGGACCCCTCGGTAGAAAATCCTGCTCCAAGACAGGGGTGTTGGGACAGAGCTGCAGGTGGGGCTGTCCTGGGGCAGAGACCTGCACACCTGGTGGGGACCAGGGCACAGTGGCGAGGGGCATCCTGGAGCAGGAGGGTGGCGGCCGGGGCAGCGCTGGGGTACCGGGAGCCTGGGGCTGGAGGATACGGACCGGTGGGGATGCCTGGCCGCGGGTTCGGGGCGGTACCGGGGGAGGATACGGACCGGTGGGGATGCCTGGCCGCGGGTTCGGGGCGGTACCGGGGGAGGATACGGACCGGTGGGGATGCCTGGCCGCGGGTTCGGGGCGGTACCGGGGGAGGATACGGACCGGTGGGGATGCCTGGCCGCGGGTTCGGGGCGGTACCGGGGGAGGATACGGACCGGTGGGGATGCCCGGCCGCTGGACCCTGGCCGCGGGCTCGGGGCGGTGCCGGGGCCGGTGCGGGGCTCCCGTCGGGGCTCGGTGCGGACTGCCCGCCCCGCCCCGCCCCGTCCCGCCCCGCAGCGCTGCTCCTCTCTCCGCTGCAGCCCGGGATGGCGCCGCGGCGGGGCTGAGCGCCCGGGCCGGGCCGGGCCGGGCCGGGGCCGCCATGGACGGGCCGAGCGGGGGCTGCCCGCCCGCCGCCGCCCCGGCACGGGCCAAGCTGCCGCTCGGCATCGTCTTCTCGACGGCGCTGTTCTGCGGGGAGGGGGCGGCGGCCGCCGTGCTCTGCCTCTCCTACGGCCACTCCGACGACCGCTTCTGGCTGGCGCTCACCGTGTTCTTCGTGCTCTGCCCCTCCGTCCTGGTGCAGCTCACCCTCATCTTCGTGCACCGCGATCTCAGCCGGGACCGCCCGCTCGTCCTGCTCATGCACCTGCTGCAGCTCGGACCCATCATCAGGTGAGCGCGGCGGGGACCCCGGGCACCCCCGACACCCCCGGGCACCCCCGGCAGCGGCTGGGAGCAGGGAGCGGTGCGGGCAGGACGGGCACCCAGCCCCGTCTGTCAGTGCCCACCTGCCCGGCGCGCCCGGGGCTGCTCCTGCCGCCTCCCGGTGCCTCCTCCCGGCACTGCCGCTCCCGCTCCTCGGGGACCCTTGCTCGCCGCTGGTGCCACGGGTGTTGCTGCTGCTGGAGCCCGCTCCGTTGTGTCCCAGCTGCTGGGAAAACTCTGCCTCTTGGGTTTGCCATCACCGTGCTGAGAGCACAGATGGGAATCCCCGGTGGGTGAATACTCACATGGTGTGGAGCTGAGTCAGGGGAGGTTTCGATTAGATACCAGGAAAAGGTTTTACACCCAGAGACAGTGGTGGAGCTCTGAAACAGACTCGCTAGGAAAGTGATGACAGCACCTGGCCTGTCACAAACAATTGTCACAAACATACCTTCAACAAATATTTGGACAACACTCTTGGGCACATAGTGGTGTTATTGGGGTGTCCTGCATAGGGCCAGGAGTGGGACTCAGTGGGGTAATGGGACACAGAGGAGAAGGGCAAGGTGCAGGAGTGGGGCTGGCATGGGAACAGTGGGGTCACTGGGCTGAGCTGGGAAGAGGACAGTGAGGGGGTGGATGGATGTTGCACAAGCTAATCCCTCATTCCTTGGGAATGCTGTGGTGCTTCCTGGGCTGTCGTCACCCTGGGCAGCCTGCTCCATGAGAATGCACTGTGGGCAGCGTGGCAAAGCCACCACCTCCATGGGGCTCCTTCCCGAGGGCAGGCCAGCAGCCAGGCTTTGGGCTCACAGAGCTCCAAAACCACTGTGGCTGCTCCACACTTCCTCTGTCACCGGAAACAAGCAGTGTGCACCAGATGTGTCCCTGTCACCACGTCTTATCTCCAGAGCCACCTGGGCTCAGTGCTGCCAGCCTGTGCTGACCCACAGGAGTGTTGTGACTCTCACCACACCAACCAAGGCTGTCTGAGATGGGTACAGTGCTGCCCAGCTGCTTGTAAGAGTCAGCCAGGGGTGCCCAGGAAAGGCTGCTCAGGCTGGAGATGGAGCCCAGCCTGCTGAGAAGCTCTGGGAGCCAGCTGGGACTACCCTTCAAGCTGGGCCTTTGGGATGAAACTATTTTCCTGTTAGAGTTTGCAATGAGCCATGAGCTGTCTTGATCTGTCAAGAGGTTTTATCCTAAACCCTCACTCCTTTTGGGTTTGATTCACAGCAATTTGTACTGTCCTGATAAGCGCTCATAAATACTGATGTCCTGTTGGTCCCAGAACCAGCTGGTCCCCAGGCAGGAGCCAGGCTGATCCTCTCTGGCCACGCACACCCACCCCACGCTGCGTGGAGGGGCTGGGGGTCCTCCTGTCGCTGCAGGCATGGCAGAAAGTCACACACGTGAGAGCCCGCAGAGAAGGGGCTGCGGAAGCGCTGCCTTATCTGCCCGTGCCACATACGGCTTCACCCTGCGCTCTCCTTCCTGCTGTCCCCACCAAGGAGGAAGTGTGGAAGCCTTCTTCTGCTCAAGATGAGAGATCAAAGAAAACTCTGATATTCAGCTCTGATACTTCAGAGCTTCTTTTGCTTCTGCTTAGAGGAAGAGTTTTTTGGCCGTTGGGAAAGCAGAACCCAAGGGTGATTAGCACCTTCCTGTAGCTGCAGCTCCCAGCAGGGTCACTGCTTTGTAACCTGGATGCTGCTCCTCTTCCAGCAGCGGTTTCACCCCTCGCTGGAGCAGTTGTTGTACCCCTGTTGTGAATGCTGGAGCACAGGGGCAGCCACTGGGCATCCCCATGGTCCTGGTGTGAGCAGTCAGCACAGCTGGACAGCTGCCCAGAACACCTGGGCTGCACTCGGCAGGAGCGGGGTCTGGCCAGCTGCAGGTGAGGTGGGGCAGCGGGGACAGCAGGAAGGCTGGGGGGTGACAGCTCCTGTGTCCCCCCAGGTGTGTGGAGGCCCTGGTGGTGTACTGCTGGTCGGGGAGGGAGGAGGAGCCCTACGTGACCATCACCCGCAAGCGGCGGCTGCGGAAAGGCTACGAGGTGGAGATGGAGCAGGAGGTGGGGCACTCGGAGCGCCGCCTGGCCACGCACCGCAACGCCTTCAAGCGCATGGCCGTCATCCAGGCTTTCCTGGGCTCCACCCCGCAGCTCACCCTGCAGCTCTACATCAGCGTCCTGGAGAAGTACGTCCCTGTTGCCCGAGGTAAGGGCGCCCGGCACACCGTGGGCTCCCCGGGAACCCCTCCAGGCTGGCAGCTCCTTAGCTGCTTGTGCTCATGGGGCATCCAGGCAGTGCAAAAAAGTCATTCCTAGGGACACAGGTTCCACTGGAGTCCCGTAAACGTGGAGCTCATTAGCTCTCTGCTTTCCTGTTTGCAGTGATGCAAAGTGGGAAAGGGCAGGCATGGCTGAGGTGCCAGGCTCTGCTCCCAGCCCCGTGAGTATCTGTCCTCCAGAACCAAGCTATCCACCCAGAGCCATGTCTCATAAGAGGGTCGGGTCCCTGCCCTAGCCTGCTCCAGTCTCCATTCATTTTTTTTCCATCTAGCTACAGGCTCTGGCTTCCCTCAAGTCCCTCCACTGTATCTATTTCTGCACATTTTCCAACAGCTAAAGCTCCCAGCCCAGCACTCCCACTCTGAGGCTCCCTTGCCTGCTCCCAGGATGTTTATGTGCTTGGGGGTGGATATGCCAGAGCAAACTTTTAACTCCCATTTTGGCATGGTACCAAGCTGGGCACGCCTGGTGCCCTGCACTATTGCAATTACAGTGCTGGGTGCAGGAGCTGCCCTCACTGCCTGCTCTCCCAGCACTGCTGGGAGCCCAGACCTTGTCATCTGTGCCCACAGCAGGTGCATGAAAATGGAAGCACAGGAGATGTCCCACAGAAACCCCCTAATATACCACAGCCCTCTGCAAAGGCATTGTGGGGAGTTGCAGACACACAGGAAGAATGAGTGGCAGTGCTCCTGTAGCAGTAGATGCAGGAAGTAAATACCAAATGATGTGTTTTGGGTGATTCCCTCACAGCTGGAGTGCCAGCTCAGCCCTGCAGCTGGCAGCCACCATGGATGGGACCAGCTGCACTCTTCTATTTTCCTCCATGGTATTCCTGGCTGTGCTGAATGTGAGCAGCTGCTGGCATTCCCTACAAATGACCTTGGCTTTGCAGCCCTCGGATGGGGCTGGCTCTTGGGATGCCTCGGGGCTACAGTGGTGCAGCTCTTGGCTGGGATGAAGGCAGAGGGGCCCTTGCAGCACAGCCTTTGCCCTGCTTACCCTTGAGCAGCATTTCCTGCACAGGGGTGCTGGGGCATGGTCCAACCACAGAAATGCCTCTGGTTTGGCCAAGGTATGTATTTATTGGTGTAGGGAGAACCTTTGGGTTCTGAGCATCCCACTGCCAGCAACTTCCCCCCACAGCCACCTCATCATGGGGGCTGTCACCATGCTGAGCCTTCTGCTGTGAGACTTCTCACCCAGGATTGGCACCCCATGTTTCCCACCCGGGGTTGTCACCCCACACTTTGTGGAGAGGCTGGACACAGTCAGTGCCTGACTCCCCTGCTCTCTCCTGTGCAGCCGTCCTCATGGCCATCTGCCTGGTGTCAGTGACCTATGGAGCACTGGTCTGCAATGTGCTGGCCATCCAGGTCAAGTACGATGACTACAAGGTGCAGCTGCGGCCGCTGGCCTTCCTGTGCATCGTGCTGTGGCGCAGCCTGGAGATCTCCACCCGCATCGCCGTGCTCGTGCTCTTCAGCACCGTCTTCAAGCACTGGATCATCCCCATCGCCCTGGCCAACCTCCTGGTGGTTTTCTTCTTGCCCTGGGTGCAGTTCTGGCGCAGCGGCAGCCGCCTGCCTGACAACATCGAGAAGAACTTCAGCCGCCTGGGCACGGTGGTGGTGCTCTGTGCCTTCACCCTGCTCTACTCCAGCATCAACATGTTCTGCTGGTCGGCAGTGCAGCTCAAGCTGGCTGACCGGGACCTCATTGACAAGTCTCAGAACTGGGGCCGCTTGGCCGTGTACTACACGGCCCGGCTGGCCGAGAACACGGCCCTCGTCATCCTCTGGTACTTCTTCAAGACTGATGTCTATGAGAACGTCTGCACCGCTCTGCTGGTGCTGCAGCTGCTCCTCGGCTACTGCCTGGGCATCTACTTCATGCTGCTCTTCTTCCAGTACCTGCACCCCTGCCGCCAGCTCTTCCGACACAACGTCGCTGATTTCCTGCACTGCGTGTGCTGCCGCCAGCACCAGGCAGGGACCCCTCTGTGCCTCGAGGCACCCCTGGAGCCCGGTGTGAGGCACAGCATTGTCTGAGCACCTGGCTCCTCCAGCAGGACATGGGGATGGGCAGCACCAGCCAGAGGATGCTGCTGGCACAGGCCAAGCGCTGCCTGGTCCTGCAGTGGCAGCGGGTCCCAGGGCATCCCCACGGTGGCAGGGGAACAGGAGTGTGCTTGCCTGCTCAGGACCACTCACGTGAACATGAAGGAGGATGCATTTGAATTGGACATAAGGAATTTTTTACAGTGAGGGACTGGCACATGTTGCCCAAAGAGATGGTGGATGTCCTGTCCCTGAAAACATTCAAGGCCAGGTTGGATGGGCTCTGAGCAACCTGGCCTAATTGAAGATGTCCCTGCCCATCTCTGGAGTTGAACTAGGTGGCCTTTAGAGGTCCCTTCCAACCCAAAATATTCTACGGTTCTACAATCCTACAACTTATGGGGTGCCCAAACCAGTTGGCCCTGCAAGCTGGCTGCCCCATGGTGCACAGCCCCTGGGGTGCCCTGACACCCCCATTGCTGCTATGGTGCATTTGGTGACCTCGGGCCGTGGGTGCCACTGGGACTGTTCTATGCAGTAAAGAAACTTTGCTGTGGCTGAGTGTCTGGGTGATGGCAGTGACTCACGGGGAGGGTGGGGACTGTCCCACCAGGGCCACCACGGATGCACACACCTGATGTCCCTGTCACCGAAATGGGGCTGTGACAGTGGGAAGTGGGGATGGGGAAGCCCCTCCGTGGAGCTGCTAAGATTCAGGAGCATGGAGGGATAGGGGCTGGCCCCATCCTGTGCTTCCGTCAGCATGGCCATGGCTGCAGGCCAGGAGAGAGCAGCATGCCAGCAGGGAGCAAGCCTGTCCGACCTGTTCCTCCAGACTCAGGGGCCCAGAACAGGCTGCTGTTCCCAGCTGGAGCACTGGATACCCCAGAGCTCAGGGCCCTGCAGTGCAGGGCAGGCAGGAGGGGAAGGCACAGCAGTGGCAGTGGGTGCTGGTGGGACCCAGGCATCCTGGCCCCAAAACAGAAGTGGGACACCCCCCACCCCAGCACCCATTTTTGGGGTCAGCTCAGTTTGGGTGCTGGACTGAGGATGCTCATCAGCCCTGGGGGGCCCATGGAGGTGCAGCACCTCTGGTGGTCAGTCCTATGTCACTCACCCTGTAACGGATGCCTTGGATCCTGGCACCGGTGCAGCGCTGTGACCCCAGGATGCTTCTCTTCCTTTGTTTTCCCCTGCAAAACGGGCAGTGGAGGCTGGTGAGGGAGCCCAGGGAAAACAGAGCTGTTGAGCCAGGCACAGGACGGATCCTCCACAATTTCTTCCCAGGAAATTCCTGCCTTACGAAAAAAGCCCGTTTCTGTCTAAGACAAAAGAGACCCCAAGAGGAGCAGCCCGACCCCCTGTGCCACCCAGCCCTGGGGATCTCTCAGCGGGGGCCATCCCTGGCCAGCACAAGGGGCTCGTTTCGGTGTTGGCCAATTGGGTCAGCCCTGCCTTCCTGGAAGGTGGCCTTTGAAACCACCAGCATTTCCTTGAAGTCTTCTCAGGGGAAAGTCCCGTGGTGCCGTTCCCGTCGCACCTCCTGCTGCCTCCATAAAACGCCGGGCGTGCGCGGGCGGGCGGCGACAGCGCGGGGACAGCGCGGGGACATCGCACCATGGGCAACTGGCTGGTCAACCACTGGTTCTCAGCCGCCGTGCTCGTGAGTCTGGGGGCTGGGGGGTCAGCGGGGGCACTCGGGGGGCTCACGGGGGAGATGGGGACCGATGAGGTGCCCTGGGGCTGGGCTCTGCGGAGAGATGAGCATCCCCTCTGCTCCGCCAAGCCGCGCACCCCGGGCAGCCAGGGCAGGGCTGGGCTCTGGAAAACTGAAGTTTTGGGGAAAACACAGCTCACAGGAAAGGGAGTACTGGAAAAATTAAAAATGCTGCTGCTTTGCTCAGCCGATTTGGCTGGGAGCGTCCCACGTGCCTCTTCTCCCCTTGTGAGAGGAGGAGGATCCTGTGAGAGCTCCTGGCAGGGTGAGGAGATGGCACCGTGGGGACCATCTGCCAGTGCCGTGCTGCAGCATCTCTGGTGTAACAGAGCTTGCCTGGCCAGCACCCATCAGCTCAGCACTGTGTGAGGAGCTGTGAATGCATGGCAACATGGGTGTTTACAGACAGTTGGGCTATTTTAATTCTTTAAGTTACTTAAAAAAGAAAAAGAAAACAGCCAAAACCCAAATACACGGCAGGGTGGTTTTTTTTGGGACCTCTGCAAAAATTCAGTGTCTGTGGGAGGCGGCACTGTGGGGTGCAGTGGGGTGAGGCAGGGGACAGCAGCACAGTGGGGCCAGGTGAGCCAGCTCCCTGTGAAACTTTCTCCCAAAATCTTTCCCACACGGTTCTGAGCACCCTCCTGCTTTCCTTCCCGTTACTCGGCCGTTGCCTGCTCCTGCCTTTCCTCCTTCCTCATGCAAGGATGATGCACAGGACAGCGTGTGACAAGATAGCAACTCAGCAAGACTTCCACACCTGTCCCCACCTTTGTTCCTGTGTCCCAGCCCTGTGCGTGACAGGGCAGCTCATAAGGAAACAGGACGGGAAATGCTCCTGACACGCTCTGGCTGCACCTGGCCCTGACTGCTGCGGTGTGAGAGGCTCCTGGGACAGGGTCCCTCACGAGGCTGTGACTTTCCCCCACAGGCAGCCTGGCTGGGAATCAATATCTTCCTCTTCACCTACTACTTTCTGTTCTTTGACCGGGATGAGCGATATTTCTACACCAGGGCCATCCTTGGGGTAAGGAGCTCCCCACAGGACCCTGTCTGCCCAGGCAGATGAGCCCCTCGGGGCCCTGCTGCAGTGGGGTGGGGGCTGCAACATCCCACACCCCTTTCACATAATGCCTTCTTCCAGCCCACCATCATTCTGTCCCACTCCATGGCCTGGCATTGCACCATGCTAGTCCCTGTCTTGATCTCTGTCTGGTCTCAGCCCAGTAGCATCCCAGCCCAGCCTAGCATGTCCCTCTCCCAGTCCCCATGCCAGCCCAGCATCTCTCCATCCCAGTTCCCAGCCTAGCATGTCCCTCTCCCAGTCCCCATGCCAGCCCAGCATCTCTCCATCCCAGTTCCCAGCCTAGCATCCCTCAGCCCCAGCTCAGCACTGATTTGCCCCATTCTGACCCAGTCCTGGCACAGCATGACAGGACAGTGGTGCTCACCCCTCTCTTCTCCCCAGTCTGCCTTGGCGTGGGCTCGAGCATCAGCCAAGTGCCTCAACTTCAACAGCATGCTGATTCTGCTGCCTGTGTGCCGCAACCTGCTCTCCTTCCTGCGTGGGACCTGCTCGGTGAGTGTCCCGTGGTGGCACAGCCAGTGTGGCCGTCCCCATCCCTGTCCCCATCCTGACACCACTGCCTCTCCCTGCAGTGCTGCAGGCGGACGCTGAGGAAGCAGCTGGACCACAACCTCACCTTCCACAAGCTGGTGGCCTACACACTGGCCCTGCTCACAGGTACCCCTGGACTGGGATGGGGCAGCAGTGGGGACTGGGAGCTGCCTGGTGGGTGACTGCCTGTCCCCTGTCCAGCTGTGCATACCATCGCCCACCTCTTCAACCTGGAGCGCTACAACCATAGCCAACAAGCCACTGATGGCAGCCTCCACGCTGTGCTCTCCAAAATGCACCTGCAGGGCAGCAAGTGGCTGAACCCCATCCACTCCAACCAGACGGTGAGCGTGACCTTGGCATCCAGCAACCCGCCAGGACCTGTCCCCTGCCCCCCTAACCCACCCTGCTGCCCCTGCAGACCGTCGAGTACGTGGCTTTCACCACCATCCCGGGGCTGACGGGGGTGATCATCACGCTGGCACTCATCCTCATGGTCACATCCTCCACCGAGTTCATCCGCAGGAACTACTTTGAGCTCTTCTGGTACACACATCACCTCTTCCTCGTCTACTTCGCTGGCCTCGTCATCCACGGCATCGCGTAAGGCTCCTGACAGTGCCCAGGGCAGGACAGAGAGGGGCGGTGCACACAGAGCTCTGCTGGGGCAGCCACCAGTGGGGAGAGCCCAGTGGGGCTGTGACTGCCATTCCCAGGGTGGGCTGGCCCAGCTGGCCTCACGCAGTGTGGCTCAGCCCTGGCTGGCAGCAGAAGCTGGCCCTGGGCTCACCCCTCCCCTCCCTGCAGCGGGCTGGTGCGTGGGCAGACGGAGCAGAGCATGGCAGAGGTGCACCCCTATCACTGTGCCGAGCACATCACACAGCGGGACCCGCAGAACTGCACCCACAAGTGCTGCAAAGACCCCGAGTTCGGGAGCATCCCTGCCGAGGTAGGGCAGTGCTGGGATGGCAGTGGTGGGGGAGAAGCTCCTCCCTTGCCCTTGGGATGCTCCAGCCCTGGCCCTTCCCAATCCTTTGCTCTCCTCCATTTTCACAGTCCTGGAAGTGGGTGCTTGCCCCCATCATCCTCTACGTGTTTGAGCGGATCCTGCGGGTCTGGCGTGCGCAGCAGAAGGTGGTTGTCAAAAAGGTGGGTGGTGCAGGAGCTGTTCCTATGCCAGTTCTACCCTTGGAGTCACTGGTGCCACAGCTCCTCGCCATGGTGGCCATGGGGAGGTGGGCAGGGGCCACAGCCACAGCCCCTTCCCAGGGCCAGGGGCCAGGCTGGGCTGAGCCCTGACGTGCCCCCAGGTGGTCATGCACCCTGCCCGTGTGCTGGAGCTGCAGATGGAGAAGAAGGGCTTCTGCATGGAGGTGGGGCAGTACATCTTCGTCAACTGCCCCTCCATCTCCCCGCTGGAGTGGCACCCCTTCACCCTCACCTCTGCACCCGAGGAGGATTTCTTCTCCATCCACATCCGGGCAGCTGGCGACTGGACAGAACGTCTCATTGACACCTTCCAATCAGAAACACCTAGGTAGGCTGGGGAGAGCCCAACAGGTCATGCCAGGGATTTGGGGAGGCTGTACCTCTCACCAGGCCCTGTTCTGGCCAGGATCGAGGTGGATGGTCCTTTTGGCACGGCCAGTGAAGACGTGTTTCAGTACGAGGTGGCCATGCTGGTTGGAGCAGGCATTGGTGTCACCCCCTTCGCCTCCATCCTCAAATCCATCTGGTACAAGTTCCAGCAGGCTGACCAGACCCTCAAGACTAAGAAGGTACAGAGTGCCCCTTGGGACCAGCTGTGGGTGTCTCCCTCTGGCTCTGCTCCACCTTGAGCAATCTCTCTCCCCCTGCATCCCAGATCTACTTCTACTGGCTCTGCCGGGACACGGGAGCCTTTGCCTGGTTCAACGACCTGCTTGCCTCACTGGAGCAGAAGATGGCTGAGTCGGGCAAGGCAGACTTCCTCACCTACCGTCTGTTCCTCACTGGCTGGGACACCAGCATTGTGAGTCGAGCACAGGCTGGCATGGCTGCAAGAGGGGGACAAAGGGTGGCCAAACTGGGCAGGAAGGGCAGGGCAAGCATGACAATGGCTCTTAGGCACCAAAGTTCAGGCATGGCGTTTGGTGGGATCAACAATGGATGCTCCTCTGTGGTGAGGGACTGGAAGGGGGCTCATGAGTGGTGCCTGGGGTTCTCACCATCCCTTCCTGCCTGCCC